GACGTTTTGGCCTATGAAATATTATATTTACATGAAAAGCCGAGATGTATGCCACATCTGTCTATTTGCGTTGTAAACACTTGTAATTTACGATTTTCATATCTCAGCGAAGGCGCCTTTGTACAATGATTTCTTGCTGAATTTATGTATCATCAGTCTAGAGAATTTTATATATGTATATATATATATATAATATATATATATTATATATATATGTTTGCACACGTGTCAATTGATTTCTCGTCAAGCAAAGTAAAAACTGGTGGTGCATGGCATCGTGCCTTAAGGTAAATTGCAGGAACTTTCCGTACGGTAAGGAAATATTCGAGAGATTTCAAATGTTTTAGATATTCAAAAAAGTAGATTCTTTTTGAAGTTTTGTTTTTTTTCTTCCTTCTCCCATAACTAATAGTTTCTTTACAATATCGACACAAGCAAACTTATTTTACAATTAGATAATCCGTTCTTCTATTAAATGCTACTTTTTGCTCCGTACTTCTGAAACCGCTGGAACCGCCATTGCAAAAAACTAATCAGCACGTCCTCCCATCAATACGAACCGAATATTTTTTGAATCATTCTAATCCGGTTCTCGGACTTTGGACTTTTTGCTCCGAAATGGCTGGACCTTATTTGCAAAAACGTAATTAGCACTTTCCCCTATCAATAGGAATCGAATGCTTTTTGAATCATTCAAATTCGTTGATCCGTGCTTCCGGAAACGTGGGCGAAATATTGTATCCACACATGCATATACACTCACACACATACACACACACATATACACATCAATTTATTCTAAGGTATGCCAAATGTTCAGAAACCTTTGAAACGTAAAAATATGCACAAACTTTTATTCTATATTTTTGGACGATTACTATAACTTACTCTATGGCGAATTAAAAAAAATATTAAAAATATTATATTTAGGGATCATAAACTAAACAACCGTGCTCAAAAAAAATGATTAACTCAAAAAATAAAATCCCGAAATTGTTGACGAAAATTTGTATCCGCACACACACACACACATTCACAAATACACACACATACATCCATATTTTCTAAGGTATGCCGAATTGTTCAGAAACTCTGAAACGTAAAAATATGCATAGAATTACGGGAAGTCAGAAAAATTCTTAGAAAATTTTTATTTAGGTATCATAAACTAAACAACCGTGTTCAAAAGAAAGACTAATGAGAAAAAAGTGGTCTTTTATCTTCTTATTTCGATGATGCCTGATTAAGGTGATGAAAGATTATACATAATTATATATCTACTTTAATTTAAATCGAATATCACCACACTTTACTTATTTTGAGATAAAGGTGATGGACCTTTTTACTCGTAGACCTTCAAGACCAGCTCTTCTATGAACTTTATACACAGAATTTTTAGTCGAACTATATACAAAAAACCGTAAATTATCAATTATAATTTTTTGAATAAATAATTTAATTCTCAGTGGGTTTATTTATTATAAATTATGCCTTTATTTTTGGTCATGTTATTTATTGTCGTCATTTTGGTTGATTTTTTTGTTCATGTTATTTATTGTCTCGTTAATTTATCAATTTATCAGTTCAATTAATTTGTAAATTTAATACCATATTCTAATTCATTTTTGTCTAATAATAAATATTCTGAAGAGTAACGTCACAATGATACAATTAATTTGTTTGATTTGAATTCAACCAACTCAGATTCAAAGAACAATTAAAATTAATGAAGAAGAATGTTTTAATCAGAGCTGCGGCAACCTATCGATTAATTATATATATATATATATATATATTATATTATATATCCAAAGTTATACACACGGTAATTCAATATAGTATTTAATATATAAAATATGAAAATCTGGCAAACTTTGTCAAAATTAATAATAAAATTTGTCACAACATCAAGTCTCTGAGGCAATTTATAATTTCTCCTTAAGTTAGGTTTTCTATGAAATTTTCAAACATCTATTACATCAATGTCCCAAGTAATTAATCTTAAACTAAGTTAATTACAAACTCTGTCTTCCCTATCTATGAAAATCCATCATGTACTTTATGAAAAAATTTTAACACACAATTTTGAGAGCATGTAATTCCTATAGGTGTTCACATAGTATTAATAAAGTCTGTTTTACTTAGAAATTCATCTTAATTATTGAATTATGTGGAATGCTCAGGTAGTAGGAAAGTTTTGATAGCTATATGTATCGTTTACATGAAGTTACAAATATGGTGCAAATGTAATTAGGGAGGATCAATTTTCCGACTATAGTCCAAATATTATTTTCAGTCATCATCTGCTAGTTAATAGGTAATTTTTCTCTAGTCTTCCTTATCATTCAAAGTATCCATTTCTACAACTTCCATTCTTTTCAATAATATACGAATTTTGATAATAGCGATTACTAACCATAGGTCATTCGATTGATAATTATAATATATAGAGAGAGTCAAAAAAAATCGATTTGATTATAAAACATCAATTATACGATATTAAGTGCACGAAAAGTCAACACGAAACCAACTTTTCATTCAAACAGAATTATTTCTGCAATAAACGATTACAATTCATGATGTAGGATGGTCGGAAGCAGTTCAAAAATAGGCTAATTACTCAGCAAACGCTGTAAATGATAGTATTTTTACCATGTCGACCAACAAAATTGACCCTGAATGAAATGATAATGTTGCACTTATCATTGGTACCTGGAATAATAAGGGAGCTGGTGGAGCTTACATAGACAATGATTTTTGTTAGGATTAAATTTGTTGGCAGAGCTTAGAGATATTAGAAGTTTAGTATAGTGCATTTTTATTAACTTTTTCAAAAATGTTGTTGTCAGAAAATCCGATTTGCTAATTTTTTGTTTGCTTATCGTTTCAAGTCATTCTGAATAGGTTGATAAAAAAGTATGAGTCTGAGTATTATAAGTCAAAATGTTCCTATTTGTCGAGGTTTAAATTTTAAAGCCATTTAATAAAACTTGATTAGGACTCACATTGACTTGTTTTGCGAGATGATTAGCCAAGTCGATTTTTTATGTTTTACAGACAAATGCAAATAAATAGCGATATTTTCGTTGATAATTCTGAACTGATTTTGAAAATTTAAAAACTACTCGAATAAGTTATCAATTTGTAAATTGATATCAAGTGGTGAATTGTTTTACTAGTTTTTTTTGGTAAAGGTTGACCAAGTTTCTCCAAAATTGTTAATGTTTATTGGGTTTTTAATGGTGATGTGATAGAAGTCATGGTCTTAATGATCATTTTTAATTATTATGATTATACAAGAAGTGGTTTAATTATAACAAAATTTGAAGTTTGGAATATTAATAATCTTCAAGTTTCTAACTAAGCCTTCTGAACATTTTTGCACACATTAAAAAAAATGTGTGCATGTGTGTTAGGGTGGTCCTTAATATGCACATTTTCGAATTTCTTTGCTCCCAAGGGTTCAAATGTTTCGAAATTGATTAAAAAAAATTCTCTAAAAGTTTTAGCTCTTTATATTAACTTTTAGATATTGCGCAATTCAATCAAACTTCGTATGGAAAAAGAATGGAAAAAATCGAAAATTTTATAAATGTTTTTTTGGTATAACTTAGCGACAAATGTATTTAAAATGACAATTCGTGTCTATTAAAATTCGACGCTCTGCAAAAGAGGTTTTTATAATTTATTTTGTGGAGCGTCGAATTTTGAATGATACTCATTCATTTGTTCGTTAAGTTATATCTAAAATAATTTTTAAAATTTTTGAAAATTTTTCCATGCTATTTCAAAAGCTAAAATTTTCAGAGGATTTTTTCTTAATAATTTGGGAGCATTTGAGCTGTTGGAAAGAAAAAGAAAAAGAAATTCAAAAATGTCAATTTTGTAAACACGAATCAACTGATTTGAATGAAAAAAGTATTCGATTCGTATTAATAGGAAAAACGTGCTGGTTAGTTTTTGACAAAAGTAGGTCCAACGGTTTTGAAGATACGAGACAAAAAATGCCAAAAATGGTAACTCAGTTTTTGAGAGAATGGGTTCGATCGAAATAATTCCAAAAACATTTTACTTGTATTGACAAAATGAAGAACTATGCATTTTTGGGAAGGCAGGTCTATCGGTTTCGGATATCCAATAAAAAAATTATAAAAAATGCCATTTAGTGGTCAAAAATGAACATACAAATACATATGTTCATTAAATCAGATATTTCATAGAGATTTTAATAATAAGTACAAATTTTGTTCATATTTTGTGGATTTTGTATCAAGATTTATAATGTTTGAAAAAAGTTGACATTTTCAAAAAAAAATGAATTAGAATAATCTAATTTTTCAAAAAAATTTTTTTTCAAGTCCAATTTGTTCAGAAATTTCAAAGTTTTCAAAAAGTATTTTTATAAATTATTAATTTATTTGTTTCTACAAATTTTTTATCTTTCAAAAGTTTAAATTACGGTACGGTAAGTACCAGAGATTTGCCTTAAGGCACGATGCCATGCACCAGTAATTTTGTCACAATTTCAAAAATTTTGAATATGAATTCATAATGACTAGGTTGTTTATTTACACAATTTGCCTTAGAGCTAAATCCCACTTCTATTTAGTTGTATTCTAGTTCATATAATTATTAAGTGTTGTATTATATTCCGTTCGATGGAGAACAGTCTTAAATTGACAAAAATTATAGAATGTTTGAAATTTGTAAATGTTTAGTGTTTTTATGAAATATTTATCTACGCCTCTGGTACCCATATGAATTTCCCATCAATCGTCGGGTCATTAACAAGAGTCAAGGCCTCGTAATATCAAACAATGATATTAAACTCTACACTGGCCAGACTGGAATAGAAAAGCACTTTAGAAATTACAAGGACGATTTTTAAGAAGATGATACACACCTACGCATGCATACACGCAACTAGGTTGATCAAGAATGCAAAAAATAAATGTTTGAAATATTCTCTCACATTGCTTTATTATATGAAATTACATTTATCAGACCAAATTTTCTGGTCTAGTATCATCCAGATCATCACCATCATCGTCAAGAACCGATCTACTGTCATCAACTTCATCAGTTGACCACTTGGAGAAAGAAACATTCAAACGTTTATATGCCTCCCTACGAATCCTTTCCATAATATCAGGATAAGGAGAAATAGCTTGCATAAAATCCTTTCGATCCAAAGTGTAAAGTTCGCAAGTTTCTATAGCTACAACAGTTGCCGATCTTAAATTATTTTCAGTGACCAGAACGACTTCTCCAAAATGGGCACCGTCACTCAAATGTGCGACTTCACGATTTTGTCCATAAATGGCTACAGTTCCTGATCCTATGAAGAACATGCTGTGACCAGGTTGGCCTTCTACTACTATTGTATCCTGGAAATAAAAGAAAAAGAATAAAAACTAGTTGGTATTGGTATTCTGCCTTGAGGCAAGTTACATGAACAAGTTACATATGTGTAAATAATCGACTTAATCAATAAAAAATAAATTAATTTATGAGTTATTAAAAGTATTCCTAGTAGATTTATTACACATCATTGAAAACGAACGAACACGTTAATTGGAGTATTTTCTAAAAGCAAATTTTCAAAAATCAATAATTTTTATAATTGAACCAGTTTCCGTAGTACTTTAATGATTTAGTATGTTCATTAAGACCAAGCACTCTATCGTTATACCAAGTAAATCGTCTAATTTTAATTTTAACAAATGTAAAAAAAAACTACTCATTTTTTAAAACTTTGATATTTTTTTAAAATTAAACTACTTGTCGTAAGACCGTAATATTTCAGTAAGCTCTATAAGACTATGATATATATCACCAAAAAAGTTCTATAAAAAGCGGCTCAAATTTTTTTTAACTGTTGAATAGATTTTCACCTAAAAAGAATCAGTATCATTCCCAACTAATATATTTCGAACAGTTTTTGTTTTTTTTAAATTGATTTGGTAGTATAAACTTAAATGTAGACGAAAAGTTTAACACTTTTTTTTCAAACTGCAAAAAACTGCTTGGCAGATCGTCGCACAAATCTGACAAACGATAGGCCTCATTGAAATACATAAAATGGCTCTTAAATTTCTGAAATCGGTTCAGGCATTTTTGAGAAAACGTCGATTAAAGGTCTAATTTTGACAAATGCCAAACAAACGATACTAATTTTTGCAAACTTTGACAAATTTTTAAAGTTAAACGAGTTGTCGTAAGGCCGTAATATTTTAGTATGGTCTATAAGACTATGGTAGTATCGTCAAAAAAAAAATCATAAAAATCGTCAAAAAAAAAAATTACAAGAAAATGGCTCGATCGATCCAATATCTTTCGAACGGTTTTTGAATTTTTGAAATCGATTCAGAATTGCTGGCTGGTCGACTAAATTTTTTTCACTTTTCTGCGAATTGAAAAGAAACGGCTCGCCCAATCGTCGCACAAAACTGAAAAACGTTAGTCCTCATCGAGATACACCGAATGGATTTTAAATTTTTAAAATCGGTCCAGCCATTTTTGAGAAAATGTCGATTTACCGCAAAAAATCCTTTCACACACGCACACATACCTTTTCCAATTTTGATCTCATTCGATTCAGAATGGCTTGAAACGTCGAGAAAACACAAAATTAGCGAATCGGAATTTTTTATGAAAACAAACTTCTCCTACTGGTAGTTAATAATTGTTGTGTAAAGCTACTTACTTGTGCTAAGTAGATCTCAGACTGCAGACAAGTCACAATACGAACCAGCAAAGTATTTGGAATTTTTTCGAAAAACGGAACACTGGTCACCAATCTTCGGCAACTGTACACTATAATCTCTTGTCTGAGTTGCGTAGATAAAGTATCCAATATAGCGTCTTCTTTATAAAAATTCTTCTGAAATTTAAACTCATAATAATCCAACAATCTATTCCTGATCACCTGAGGAAGTTGCTTGTGGCGTATAAACTCATTCAATTGCTGGAGCAGTGTTTGGTACTTCAATTTAGAAGCATTCGTATTTCTAACTAGAAGCAAAATTTGTGCAACTACCAGGATTTTCAGGATTGATCCAAAAAGATATAATACCATTGTCATGATCATGTCTTCGGAAGAAAAAGATAGAGACATTCCATAGTTATAAGTCGTACTGGCACTCATGATGTTAAAAAAGCACGTGATGTAACGATCATTTGGAAACTTGGGCAAAAAGTTCATTTGTTTTACCCAAGCAAAAGTTGGTATCAAATCTTCGACATCACCATGAGTCCAACGGGTGATCATGAATTTCAAACATGCCAACCAGTGGAGGATCACAAATAAGGCAAAACATTGTCTCAAGAAACGAGAGGTGTAAGATGATGTGTAGTAACACACTTGAAAATTTTTCATGTAGGTAACTAGAGTTATGATATGGAAAAACTTCAGGAGACCAAATATTATGAACGAGTTTAAGGAATGGCTTGTCTCGTATGATAAATGGAAGAGCAGTTCCAATGGTGCACTCGAGACTATGTTGAATATTAGGTATCCTTTAAAGTAATTAATAATGATTCTTTTGCGATCAAGTACTATCTCTTTGTTGGAGGTACAAAAATAACCAGTGTTAAGGGAGCACATTATGTCTATTATTGAAGCCATATCTACAAAGAAGCACAGGAGCTAGAAAAAAAAAATTCAATTTAGAATCAAAAATTTATGAGACAGTGTCGAATCATCAATCACACAATCGCTAAATATTGCATATAATATATATTAATCAATGTAAGAATATATTTACCATAGCAAAATTATTAACCAAGGAATGTTCATGTTTTGGGTAAAAAGAAATAACATATGGCACAATAAGAATTTGAAGTGACAACAAAAGTATCATGATTCCTTCGAAAAGCATCCTGTAAAACACAATTTTTATATCAGCAATTATAATTAAATATTACATAACCATATTCATATAAAGTTTTATTCAATATCATCCACAAAACTAAAGTATCAATTCTCGGATAAAATAGGTATGGTATGGTAATGCTATGTTGCGGGTCTATATTTGTATGAGTTGGTAGTACCAAACTGTAAAAATTTTATGTATTTGCTGTGCAATCTGGTGGTTTACACAAACAACCTAACTTCACGCATGTGTTATCAAAGATAGATCACGTGACGCTTAAAGTGGGAAGTATTTTGACACAAAATCACGAAGGAGGATGATCTAGCAAGATATCACGTTCACTTATTTATTGCCTTAATTAAAAAAAATTCAAAAATTGTCAAAAGTATTTTAAAAAAAAATATGATTCTTCTAGGTACTAATAATACACGTGATGTTTGTGGGGAAGGGTGGAGGGGGAATTTAAATATCACGAGTATCACCAAGAAAGAGAGAGGTGTCCAAAAACCCTTAAAAAGCGATTAATATATAATATATTTGACGTTTGCACGTTTTGTAGGTTAGGTTTTATGTATAAAAATTCCGATAGCAAATAGATACATTTTCGATAGTTTGTGATTACCAACTCATTCGAATCATTTCTATTTTATTCGAGAATTGGCCTCTAGGACACTTTGTTTATGACTTCTTCAAAATCAAATTTTTACCTAAATTTGCTAAAAGGATGAAAAACATAGTAATACTGATGCAAATGCCTTCTCCTTTCCATATGAACAGCTCTTTCGCTTTTCAAATTTGCCCTTGAAGCAGGAAAATCCGGACATACCATACAGTAGTTTCTAAATCTAAATGAAAAAATATTAAATAAATATGTTTTTGCCTAAATAATTAATCATTCATGTTGAGCCTCGAACAAGAAAAGTAATTACTAATTAAAAATCAAGAAAAAAACTACGTATACGCATAGAATCAAAGAACACTATCACGCGACACGACGGCCAATCACAGTCGACCCGTATAGAAATGATTTCATCGAGAGCGAATGACGAATCATTGGCACTTGACTTTTATCTGCCGTAACAAACTTCCGTTGCATTTGTACGGATTAACACCCTAGTCACGCCTAAAGAAGTTTTACTTCAAAAACAATTATTGACAACGTCAAGAAAATAATAACCAACAAAGTAAGGCTTTTTGATTAGAAAATAAACAAGCAAAATTATCCATATATAAATAAATCGTTAAATAATACAAGAAAAAATGCAAGGATTGGAGTGTGTTATATATTACCATTATAAGTGAATAAATTATAAAGAAATTCTTAATAATAGTTTGTTGAAATGGGAATTGAGAAAATAAAATTTTTAACCTGCAAAAAATATCATTTTTTTAATATAAATATTTCCTATAATTATTACCTTCTACGTAACTGTGGTATTAATCCATTTCCAGGAATAACACGATCTAATGCATCTCTTCTATTAAAAATCGAACAATTGTGTATATGAAATACATTTGTATTAGACATATTTGTAAAAGGAAATTGTTTTTTACAATAACACGAATTGTAAGTAATATTAAACAAATGTATATTGATTTTGTAATATGCCAATATTGAATTATTTTTGTTTTTTTTAATTCGATCGATAGTCAATTTGCCATAAATTTATTTCGACAAATGAAATTTTACAATTATCTAAGACTCAATACCTATAGTAATCTATATTTGCAAGTAAACTAATTTATAAAGACCAAAGATTTAATTTAATTAAAAATCAGCACTGTAGTAAAAACAAGTACATTTTATGAGTCATTATATCATCAAGTATCCGATTTTCTAAAACTAAGCCATTTCTTGACAGCCATTTTAATATTAGCCCGAATAAGTGCAGTGTCCTTTATTTTCTCAAATAAATGTGGATAAGGGCCCATAACTTCCATAAAATGTTGTCTGGACAATGTATAAAGTTCACATGTTTCTATTGCAACCACAGAAGCTATTCTAACTTCTCCTGTGACTAGAGATACTTCTCCAAAATAATCTCCATCGTACAAATGATTTTTTTCAATTAAACTTGCTCCATAAATAGCTACTGTTCCGCAATTTATGAAGTACATGCAGTTTCCAGGTTCTCCTGCTTTAATAATAAAATCCTGAAAAAAACAATGATAATAAATATTCTTTGGACTAACAATTTTAACAACAATCTTGAACATTTATCATTATTACCTTGGGTAGATAATTTCGGCATCCAACAGCTTGACGATGTTCATGATAGATTTGGGGAAAATTAGTGAAAAACGGAACATTTTCAACCAGTCTTTTGCAATTGGTCACCAATATTTCATGTTGCAAATGCGACGATAAAGAGTCAAAACTGTACCTTCTTTATAAAATATTTCTGGAAACGATACTCGTAATAATCCATCAACCTTTTACTTGTTCCAAACGCCATTGTTTGTACATCAAAAAGTCTTCGAATTGTTGCAGTATATTCTGGTATCTCAGATGAGAAGCGTTCTTGCTCCTTATTAAAATTATAAATTGCATAGTAATTGCAATTTTTAAACAATAACCAAACAAGGCCATCGCCATACAGAATGCACAGTGGTCCAAGAAAAATATTTTAACCTTATCATCATGTTGGAACCCTAAAATTGTGCGCATGACAACATACGAACTTAAAATATATCGAGTTGTAGTGTCCATTTGGTCAAATGTAATTTGATAAATCCAGTTAGATCTGGGAATATTATCCACATTATCGCCATAACGGAATCTGGTCATCATCAGAAGTAAACAAGTGAGCCAATGTATTACGATGACGATGACCAGGATTCGAAATATGAGTTTCGACAAATAAGTCAAACTCGATTTTAATTCTTTACTTCCGTGCAAATAGGACAAAAGGGTACACAAGTGAAAAATTTTGCAGAAAATAAAAAATATGAATGGAGTAAACAAAAAGCTGTCCTCTTCACTTTGGGGTTCTGGTATGTGAAGAACAAATTCTGCAGGAAACGATGCCAGGAGGTCGAAAATGAAGCGGGTCTTGAGGTATTTTTTGACAATGAGGTTTGACTCTAAAATGATTTCCAAGGAGTCTCGATCTAAATAACCGGTTACAAAAGACAGACAAATATCCAACAATCCTATTAAATCGATCACAAAAACTAAAAACATTGGAAAATTGAAAAATACTCCATAATTTGACTTGGGCAAAAAAGTTATGACAAATGGTGCGATTGCAAGCTTCAGAATTATCAAGCATATTAATAACCACTGCCAGTATAACCTGAAAAATAAAAAATAGTGTTAGAAGATACATATGAATTTGAAAATTCGAGAAAAATCTATTATATTAATAAACGAAATATTATGATAAACTGAAAAATAAAAAAAAATAGTGATAGGGTAAAGTAGGGCTTAAAGTCCTCGGGTAAAAAGGTTCACAATCATTGGAATTTTTTAGTGATGATATTTTAAAGTAGAGGGTAAAGATGTGTAACTAGTCATCATCTTATTCAGGAGATAAACGGAATTGTATCAATATTCATACCAAAAGTATGATTTTTTTGGAGTTTCTGTGGTTTTGAGTTCCTATTTTTGATACAACCTTTATAAAAGCTTACATGTGGCTGGAGTAAAAAGAACCAACTAAACCTTTAGATTGTTTAAAGTTTAAATAATGAAAAATAGTAAATAAAATGTTAAATTACATTAATAGATATTTGATCTCTGCTTATGAATGTGTTTTTTGAAATACGAGATCAAGGTTATGTACAATGAAACCTCTGTAAAAAAATTTCCCATATATCTCTGTATATCCACATATCTATTTAAAATAAAAAATGGCGTTGGGTCTCCTTGCCTCCTTTTTGTCCCTTATTACCACGCCCATGGGGCAAAAAGGGACAGATGACAAATTTTAGAAAAATAGTAAACAAATATATTTCTATAATTAGGATGAAACTGGAAATTTTACTGAATGTAATTCGATAGTTGTTTGTTTGATACATGTTATGTGATGTCATGTAGTTCATTTACTTTAGACAATATAATCACTGTCTGAAAGTCAAATTGGACCTTTATGCCCCACCCTACCCTAAATCCAAAATAAATATTTGCATTTACTTTTTTAATAAAAAAAATAGTTTCTTATTTATTTTCTTACCGAAAATGACTAAAAGGATGTATAGTAAAATAGGCGTAGTGGATGTGTCTCCTATTCTCTAACTTTATGGCTCGGCGGCTTTTCAAGATTTTTTTCGTTATTGGCAATTTTTCTGTCACCAAAGTACTTCGACGAATTCTAAAATAAATAATTCTAAATATATAATTCATAAAATCTTAGAAATATATCCATAAGAATTTAGGTTAGTTAGAATTAACTAGTTAGTCAGGTTTATTAAAATATGCTAATCATCTGCCAGGGAAATTAGTAAATAAAATTTTTAAAGAAGAATTACAAACAAAAATCATAATGACCTATTTTAGGTCCACTAATGAGATAAAGTTCTTTTAGTATCATCATTACTGTAAAGAACTACATCATTAGACGTAGTTTAGTTTTTTACTTTTTTGCACTTAGACAATACATTTGCTCTTGCCTTTTATATATACAAATACTTCCTTAAAATTTATATACATTAAAGAAAATTGTCATTAATATAATTTTATTTCATGCAAGCACTTGCACAAGTTATATACAAATTTTAATATATTTTTGATAATTTTCATATCTAAATAACTTGGTTATTATTAAATATAAAAAATTCTTCCACCATTGTACTTTAGGTTAAATGCTTAAATAAAACAATTACCTGGTTATTTATTATTAATACCAAAAATTACTAAAAAGTAATGTTAAAGTCATAAAAATATGACATTAGTGAAATTACGTTACATTTATTATAAGATATAAAATTCAAAAAAAAAATTACCTTCTATAGAATACCCTCTTGTATCCTTTCCCAGGAATTATTTTCTGCACAACATCAATGTTTGATTCCAAGGAACACGTGTGGAATATATTATCTAAGCTATGGTATTCCATTTTTTTTTAATTTTTCAAAGTAATTTTTCACAAGAACTTTATATCTTGCAGAATATACAATCTATAATATCTTATTCTTTTGTTTTGAATTTGATAATTTTGGGTGTCAACAATTAATAACAATTGACGATTGATTTTGTTTCTTTTTTATTAAGAACTTTGGTTTGTTAATGTTGTTTTACTTATAGGCAAAATACTTAATAAATATTGATTTTTTGTTTATTAATTCAAACCATGAGTAAATTATTATTTTAGAAGATTAATTTATATGAATGATGGATTTACACAAAATCCTACATTGTGAAACAAATGAATTATATCTGTTCCATATTATAATCCTTTATTAATCTTTTATATTGTATATAAAACAGGTGTTGTGATGTGAAACAATTCTCATAAAATATCATTTTTTGAAATTTACTGATGCAAAATATTTTATATAATTCCGGGACAAATGATTATTTTTTGAAACAATATTTCATTGTATTCACTTTTCTGTAAAATAAGTTTTGTTAGCTCTGACAATAAGAGTTTTCTTTCACTGGGAAGAGTTTATGAGCTTTTATTGAAATTTTGTTTTAATCCATGTTTCTACATACTATACATTAATATATATATATATATATATATATATATATATATATATATATGTTTGCTCTTAAACAATTCAGAATGATGTAAAATGTCGAAAAAATATAGAATTACCAAGTTGGATTTTTTGGCATCAGAAATTTGTAATCTTCCAGAAGTTAAAAACATTTTTTTTGCATTTGCTTCTCTATATTTATTATTTTTCCAATCAAGACTTGTGAAGCTTTATAATAAAATGGAAGCAAAAGAACATATAAATAAAGTACACAATATAACAACCAACAAAAATTTTAAAATTATAGAAAAATAATAAAGTAATAAATTAAGTAAAATATGAAAGATTTAATAGAAATGTGACAAGTTAAAAATTCGAAAAATTAAATATAAAATTAATAATAAAATTGAATTTAGCATCCGATTTGGCAATGCATGGTTTGTGAATATAAAGTGAAGAATATTATACAAAAAATTAATAAATAAAAAATACAAAACAACAATAATACACAAAATATAATATATCGAAATATTCACAATTCAGTCATAAATTCTACTTCAATCTAAAATTCTGATGATTTCCATACAAATATCGTAAAAAATTCATAGTTTTTAAACGAAATAATAAAGTTAGATTGTTTTTAATCAACTTTTATCTATAGAACAATTCGTGACACATGTTTGGGAGAATCACAAAATCAATTTTCGAACGGTGCCAAATGACAAATAAATTGTGCCTAAAATCCAATCGGAAGCATTGGCTCCAACCAGGGGAATTGGTAATAGGATAGCTGGTGTTTGGTTTACTCAAAAAAAAAAGAATTTGAGTAAAAAAATTAGAATTAGCAACTTCTAGGGGTCAAATTCGCAGACAACATAGAATTGTTATGGGTCTATCTTTGTATTAGTTGGTAGTCACAAACTATCAAAAAACTGTTGTATTATCAGGCGTTTTACATATAAAACCTAACCTCCAAAACGCACAATGTCAAAACACTATCTTATCATAAGTGCATCTTTCTCATGCTTTTTGATAACACATACGTGAAGTTAGGTTTTATGTATAAAACGCTTGATGAAACAGCAAATATATAGCTTTTTGGCAGTTTGTTACTACCAACTTATACAAAGATAGACCCGTAAAAATGTATTACCATAATATTTCTTTTTAATCCTAAAATTAGCCTCAATATCCACTTTATTGCAAGTGATCCATTCATATCTATATTTCTGAAAAATCTTACTATTTTATCTTACTACTCCTATATTGCAAAATAAGTTCGAAAGTTATATGTACCATATTTATAATACAATAAAAACATTTATTTTATTTTTTTACCATCAGCTCTCAGACTATTAATAGGGCAGCGGGATGATAATTTAGCGCCCCATTGTAATCTGTTTCTCGGGGATGAACGGAGCAAATTTATCGTGATATATTCAAAAATTTGCATAAAAATGATTTAGACTTTATCGACGATTGATTTCATGAAAACAATTGAATAATGGACTTTCTATAAAGAGATAACGATATTTTATTTCGACACGTATAGAATAGAGCTTTTATCGATTGATAAAATAACTTGCAAGAGTTTGGTCGGATTTTAAATATATACTTTGTCATTATTATTCAAAATAGTTTATAGAATAGATTATGTATAATATTCTCTAAGTACTTAGCAAACTTAGTTAGTTTTGATAGGCAAATGGTAGATGTATTTCGTTTTAATATGTTAAATCTGTTGTATATGTTTGTACTGGAGATGGTAGATAACGCTTATCGAAACATGTAGAACATTTCAGAGTTTATGTATATATATATATATATATATATATATATAATAAATTTCAGCCCTAAGCTTAATCTCCATTACAAATTTGCATAAGTCTCTATGATACAGCAAAGCCAGTGAAAATATAAATGCAAATGCGGAAATCTTCATCGAATTATAACAGAAATATTTAGTAATTTATTCAAAAATGCATAATTAATCCTGATTTAATTTGTTACATACTTATTTTCTAAATTGATGCAAAAAACTAAAAAGAGATGGTAATAAATTGACAATTTTCACATTTTTAAGGGATGGATAATTGAAATTCAATTTAAATAGAATAGTTTAATAGATTTTATTTAAATAGTAAAATAATAAAATCAGTTTCAGATTAGTTCAATTTCGCAAAGACTGTTAAGTTTTTACATGAACATTCATATATTTTTGTGAGCTGCTCTTTTTTACTTATGCACCACATTTGCAATTAGCTTGTTTTATTTGTACTAAATATGTTATACTAGAAATATCTTTTATAGCAAAACGGCGTTTTAAATAAATAATAAAAATATTTTTTTTGATAGTTTTTGGACGTTGAAACATATTTGAAATAATTAGCAGCCCATTCTTTGAATAAAGTTGAAAGAAAAACATTTTTTATTATTTGCAGTGAATACAAGTATACAAAATAATTATAAAAAAATATTAGTAAGAAGAAATAGACATACTAAACACAACCAAAACCAGAACTCAAAATACTAAATTTTGCTTTAAAAAATTGTTTATTTGTGTTCATTATATTAAATTTTATATTTGCTGAATGATGACACGCATCATGTGTCGAAAATTATAGTTAAGAAAAATGTTTTTCTATTAACTTTTTCTTATTCTGATAAATGGACTTAATGTATATAGATTTTAGAATATATTTTTAATATAAATTTTTTTTAGAACAATTTACATTGCGGTCTATATTGTTTCAATATCTTAGAAAATAAATATGAAGGTTTTTACATGAACCTCTTCCAAGTTTTTTATATTATACATATTACGAACTCAAATAAAATATGTAATATGTGTATATAATGAATTTTGCATACATTTTTAATTAAAGGAAAATTGATATTCACAGTATAGGATTAAATTTCCTAAAACAAAAATATGTTAATGCAAAAATATTCTGTTTATATATAATCATTGAAATATGACTATAGGACATTTATTGAGACGTTAAATTATAATTATAACATTATGTAATTAAGATTTTTATTGACACGATATAACAATTTTAATTGTAATTCCGCATAATAAATGTGTTTCTTTAAGTTTCAAGATTTTCCAATAATTCAAATAAGTCAATTTTTTGTTTGATTCATTTTGCAATTTGGGTACTATGGGTGAATTTAGAGTAAATTCACGAAGAATAAATATTTTGTAATATGGTGATTAACATTAAAGGTCGTTTGAAACAATTTACACATAAATTATTATACCATCAACCTATCAAAAATACGATTTATTTCATTATAAAGTTGTCAGTACAAGCTTGTTTGTTTACTGGTTTTCTTTCGAGAGATTTATTATTATTCGACCTGATGAAGCCATATAGCCTTATATGACAAAACGTATTGATGAGCAATTTGTAAACATCGTTAAGTATATTAATCTTCAGAAAATATACATAATTTTGCATATAAATGGAATATTCGCAGAGACTTTGCACAAACATGTATGTAATACATAAATTTTGTACAAAATGAATCTCTACTGAAATGTGACATTCTGATATATCAAATGGATAGGAAGAGAGCTAGATAGTATCTTTTTTTTTACCAATTATTATTAACTTCCCATAGGGTAAGTTTATAGTAATCGCAAAAAAAATCGAAAATAAAAATTCTTATATATCTTTACGTTTCGAAGGTTTCTGAACATTTTGGCATACCTTAGAAAAAATGGATGTATGTGTGTGTGTGGTGGGATACAAGGTTAATTTTTTTTCAAAAATTTAAAATTTTCTCAAAAATCTGTTTTAAAAAATTTAATTTTTGGCACGGAAAGTTTCAGCAATTTGCCTTTAAGGCTCGATGCCATACACCACTAGGTTGTATTTATTATTTGGCTGATATCATCATTTTATGTTTGTTTTTTGGATATCGGGCAAATTCTGGGATATAAATAAAATTTTTATGATAATGCTATGTTACGGGTCTA